AAAAAAAAAAAAAGGACACAGATACGTTTATTAATTTACGTTTACAACGTTACATGTTCCTTCAAGTATAAGAATTCGATACGCCTCGTAGAGAATTCTCATACTTGAAAATAAGAGTACGATCCGTGCGAAATATTTTTAGAACAATGTAAATTGTGAATGAAGCCGACCTTTTCTATGAACAGTCTAAGAAAGACCGGAAAAAATAATAGATAAAATGCAGGTATCGGCGACCAGACGTACCATCAAATATCGCATGACACATGAGTATCGAGGGAAAAGAGGAAAAGCTAGGCAAGCAAAGTGTACCGTCTGCTATTCGATCGTCCAACTTCGGTAACGCAAATACGATTTCGTTCGTAATGCCTGTGCCCTTATTTCCCAAGAAACACGTGTCTTGTGGCCTTAAAGGAAAATGTTGATTGGCCGATGCAATTTAAAGCCACCCTGTCATTGGCCAGTGGATTAGATGACCACGTGGTGCCCTGGTATATAACCAAGGGTGAACTAAGAAGGTATCGGCAGTTCTGCTCGGAACATAGACAGAAGTGCAAAGATCATTGTTTATTAACTTGCGTTCAGCAAGTTCGATCGCGCAGTGATACCGAAACAATTTAAAGGGAACATTGATCAAGTGCGATTACCTGGAAGTTCTGCTTGACATTTAACTCGTTATATGCATCCCCAGTGGAATAAAACGCGCTTCGTTTACCGCTTAAATTTTGCGTTATTTTTATGCGTGAACAGAGTGAGTGGATGAATATAATTGGACCAATTGAAATGGTGTACTTCGATACTATAACGAGTGTGAACATTCAGATGATCAGGCATGTCTTTCATTTGCCTTGCAAACGAGTTAATTTTGGAGTGGCTATGAGTCCAAGGAAACCCTCTGAAAGGGATATCCTTGAAACACCGTCGACAAAAATGGTTCTCGAGTTCGGCGAATATAACAAAACTATCGAAGATATTTCATCCATCTTGTCGGAACGAAATTACACTTGAACTTTGCGGCGATTGTTCAAAATTGATCTCGATCACTGCTAACCGTGTTCGGCGTTGTAGCTTCCGGTGAATAGGAAATGAAAGAAGACTTCGCCTCGATGTGTACAAACTACGGTAAGTTCATGCGGCAAGAAATGTACAGATAGAAAAATCGAAGGCGATGAATTTTATATTCGAGTCGAACTATTCTATCAACCTACAGAACTGCCAGATGTCCGGTCCCCACAACTTATCTTGATACTGATATACTTTTCGCGCGTTTTCATGGACTGTATCATTGCCACTGTTCCTCGTCGACATCGTCATTAGAAACGATGTTAGTACAAATTGCAGTGAAATAATTAATAAAAAGTAACTCACTAGAAAGTAACTTATAAATATCGAAATATGCACTTTCCCATTTTCGTTAAAAACGTCGTTATACCCTACGAAAGAAGGGTAGTTTCACGAATTTCTGGAAAGTAACTACTGTTAACAAAAATCGCGCTGATTTTTTTTAAAATATCAAGCATAACGGGACTGGTAGCATATACAAGAAGAAATAGAGCATATCATTGCTAGTATTTTACTCATTCATTCACTGCACCTATACATACTTTACTACTTGGTATCCCACTTTTTCAACTACGTGAAAAATCGGATTAAATACTCGTAATAAGGATAATAACGCTAGCCACTAATACTAAATTCTGTAGTACAGTATAAAATTAGGAGAGTCGTTTTTACAAGATCGAAAATCAATCGAAATCTATTGAATAATTTATGCTGTTCGTACTAGATAAAAACTCGTACTTTCTACGATTTCTTTTATTTTAATACGTTTATTTCTGTCACAGATGTTATTCTATGTCTTTTTACGCCTATTTAAGCTGCGTAACCTCGGAAAAATATTATTCGAGTGGAAATCATCCGCATAAAAAGGAGAAAAGAACAATGATGGACCCTAATGCAGCTGCTGGCCACTGCACAAGATTAGACATAAGACTCTTGTGCGTGTGACAGCGGCTATGATAGGGCTTCCACGAAGCATCGTGATACCAAGAAAATCACAGTTCGCTTTCGAAGCGTGACAACCGCCGAAATTTCTGAATAGAAATTATCACGCAAATTTTGTACATGTGTAAAAATATTTATCAACCAACCTTTCTTCCCAAGAAGAAATAGAACTCTACAGTTCGTTTGTGGTTTCTAAATTTTGTAATGAACATTGTTGAAAACTTTATAATAATAATATATTAAATATTTTGGGAATAACATTCATCTACCGATCTTTCTTTACAAAGGATGATAAAATTCTAGAGTTTCTCAGTAATTTAAATCTAATCCCCAATATTTTAAAAATAACATTCACCAAGTAGCCTACATATCTTTGTATAAGGCATGATCAAATTTTATAATTTTTCTATAATACTAATTTTTAGAGCTTTTATAATGATTATTAAATGTCTATAGCGATTATCTTAATTACTATCTTTACTGAAGATACTCATAAATCATAAATATATATTTTATATCTTAAATAAGATATAAATAGGATATAAAATACTCATAAACTGTATAAATATACTTCATATTCTCATACATTTTTGTAATCATTTCTCAAATCAAAAGATGGTGAGAAGACATAAAACATTGTAACAGATCTGTATCACAGTAATTTCTTTAACATGACAATAAAGTATTAATTGTACCTTTGTATTATTATCATTGTAATATATAAACCTAGAATATATTTCCTTGTATCCTATAAAATCTACAATATATTTTCCCTTTTTCTTTTAAACAAAATAAAATTTTCTATCTTTCTCTTTCTGTCTATAAAAATTAATATCAGAAAAAATTTCTTTTATCAAAAAATAATTATTATCTTTCAAATATGTCCAAATTTGTGTTTCATGTACAATGTGCGTTTTACCTCAATAGAGATAACCTTCCTATTACTTGTCAACTTTAACAAAGAATATTTATACATTGCATATAATTCTTTTACAACATAAAAATCATTATGAAATTAATACTAAATGTGTAATGATATTGAAAATAATCACATTAATTACAATCTGCATATAAACAACGTCGCAGTCACATATAACCTATTATTTGTATCTGAATCTTTTCATTTTCAATAATAAGTTAACATATTGTCATAGTAGATAATAATATAAACTTTGAAATATACAAAAATCATTATGTATACTAATCGTGTACATCTGAAATAATCAAAATTATAACGAAATAAAATAAATCAAAATTACGATATCATAAACAAAATGTTCAATGTATAGAACTGAAAATAACGTTCAAGTTAAATTTGTGTCTATAAAATTTATAAAAAGAAGATAAAAGAACGCTACCTTCAATATTTAAATCGAAATTAAATCATCGAGTTCATGGTGAAGCATCTACACTTGCATACACATCGTTTACGTGCGTTCCAAAATCTACCCAACTAAGTCATTGCAACTTTCTTCCTATTGGTTCGAGGTAATGAAGAAACTTACAAGTAATGGAAGCTTTTCGAACGCGCGCAATTCAAACAATGTTTGAATCGATTAAAAAGAAACTGAAAACTATTCTTTAATTTAGAAATAATATTAATAAATTTTGAAATTTATCATGTATATCTCTTTCTTTGGAATTTATAGGCAATAATTAAACGTGTGGAATAATTCTTTTTACAATTTGAAATACAAAAAAGGAAAAAATAATGATTAGAATTATACTTATCGTGACTGTGCGAAAAATAGGTAGTCAATTAGAACGATAAGTCAAATTAATTGCATTAAATTTTTTAGTCTTTTATGTTTATATTCAAGGTCATAATTTTTAACATGAAATCGATAAAATGTGCGCTTGCGTGTGTCAGTATTCCGTATCATCTGGTTGTACTCGGTGCATTGTGAACCTCCGCGAAAGTATTGTCAGTACATGGTGCCTTCATATTTGCGTTGTACCTTGTTAAAATAGACTATAATAGAATTAAACATCATGAGTCTGGTTAGACAGAACTTTCATAAGGACTGTGAGGAAGCCATTAACAACCAGATCAACTTGGAATTGTTCGCGAGTTATGTCTATCTGTCTATGGTTAGTCAATATACATATTGATTAAGTGATTATTTTTAACATTAAACTTTTTAAATAATAAAATTTAAATCAGAAGGAACATTTTATGTTCTGTACCATTATTTTTCCCGTGAATATTTTCTATTATCGTGATTGTTCTTTCAGGCATATTATTTCGATAGAAGTGACGTAGCTTTACCAGGTCATTACACATATTTCAAAAAAGCTTCAGATGAAGAAAGAGAACATGCCATGAAATTTATGACTTATCAAAACAAAAGAGGTGGCAGCATTATTTTGAAACCTATTGAGAGCCCGCCAAAAGATGATTGGGAGAGCGCTCATGACGCTATGACGGAAGCATTGAAGCTAGAGAGGCAAGTCAACGAGGTATCTATGTCCGCTTCAAACATTATATATTTCGACTGTAAAAATTATTGTTACTAGAATGAAAAAGTAATTTCATATAAAATTACATAAAAACAATGATAGTGTAATATTTTTATGATATCTCACTTCCATAGAATGTATTAAATACTTTTAATTATATTTTATTGATTTTGTTAACTTCTATTTTAATTATTTTATTTTACTCCCAAGTTTATATTTTTTTGAAATATTTAGGGGGGAGGGGTGAAATATCCATGGGGGTGTAACTCAGTGGTAGACTGTCTGTTTCGCATACGGGAAGTCCTAGGTTCAAATCCCACCTTCTCCAACTTTTTGTCCTTTTTTTTTTCTTTTCTCTGCAAATTTATAGTATGTATATCGGTGATCTTGAAATAATGTGTTTTTTTAACGAAATTTATGAATGTTTCATTATTTTCAGAGTCTCCTCGAGATGCACGCCTTAGCGTCGCAGCATAACGACCCAAATCTTCTAGATTTTCTTGAAACTGAGTATCTGAAAGAACAAGTAGAGTCCATCAATGAGCTTGCCAATCATATAACGAAATTAGAGAGGGTTGGTGATGGTTTAGGA